CTATTAATCAAGGCCAAAGTGATAATTAGTAAGGGATTAGAGATTTAGATGATTAGTTAATGATTTTTGTTCTTTGGATGTTGAATGGATAGATACGAGTGAGAGGAATGCATTTTGAGTCGAAACAAGTACATGTAGTGAGAATTCTTTTCACTGTATCACGCACCGTAGCTAGTGCTACATGCGCTGCGGCACATGAACAAGAAAATGACCCCTTAAGTCATGAAATTAGGGTAAATTTTAGAGAGAGAAATTAGAAACACATGAGAAGGAGAGAAGAGGAAGCTTAGGTGTGATATGGCAATCTTTTTTAAAGCATTGGAAGGTACTTCTGATTAATAACTTATCGGGTAAGCTACGTATAACCCTTACCTTTCATTCTACCCAAATTTCTCTAAATATGAGTAATAGAGAAATTGAATCGGTAAAATTTTAAGGGTTTGTTTCTTATCCAATAGTAATAAAAAGGTTTTCATGAATTAAATTATAACCTTGCGATTGATTCAAATTTGACTTGCATGATTACGTCACCTTAGATTTAAAAGGATAACGTTTTCAGTGGAGCTCATGATGGAGGGTTTGGGTCCAAAGTTTGGGTATAGCTTGTGAATGGGAGAAGGTAGGATTAGGGTCTATGTGAAAAAAAATTAGAGGGAATAGGGTTAGGTTAAAAAATAAATTAGAGGGATTGCGATTGTGTTTATGAGATTAGGGAGGGAATATTATTTTTTAGAAAACAAACTTTTATATAAAAAAAGATCTTATGAAGTTAAAAAAAATAGATATATGGCATTTTAAATTTTAAAAAAAATTATATATGACATTATAATTTTTGAGAAAAAAATTTTATACATAAGAAAATATAAAATAATATTTTTTTGGTAAAATAGATATTTTTTTGCTAAAATAGGTACTTTTCTTAGAAAACTAAATACAAGTTAAAAACATTCAAATTCTCATTATTATTTTATTTTGCTGTTAAATTTTTAGAGAGGAATGTTATTCCTCACTAATTAGACAAGTTAGAGAGGAACATGTTATTTCTCGCTAACATTCCTCACTAAATATTTCTCTAGAGAGGAAATTAAATTTCCTTGCAAAATTCATCACTAATACAGCTATTTAGCGAGGAATAATTAAATCCTCGCTAATCTAATTTTTTCTAGTACTGTCAGACTCTCTGAAAAGAGTATATATAAAACAATAAATCCTTATAAATAGATGGAGAGTTTTTTTCACAGAATGACAGTAAGAAATTAATGTAAGACACTAAATGATCATTCATGTTGTTACCCACTCACTTAAATGAGGTCTTATCATAAAATATATTTTTCACAGAACCATTGGGAGGCAAATTATAGTAGTTGGAGAATGCTGAAGTGATAAAAGACAAAGAAAGCACTTTTCCCACAAAGTGCATTAAATGCTATCAAACCTCTCATTCATGCATGGACAAGATTGATCCAAGTGTAGATGAGAAATCTTCACTTTAGCTTACTAATCACTTTAATGATTTAAGTGTGCGTTATTCAGAGTTCAAGAGTATATGATGTGGTTTGAAGCACAAGCTTCTCTACGAGTCCAATCATTTGTGGGTAATTTGAGTACCAAGTGTGAATCAGTGTACAAAGACACCTTGCCTCTTGGTGATGGGAATCATGCTTAGGTAACCTATTAACCAAGCTTGAATAGCTTGTTTTGCACTAAGGCTCATTCTAAGTCAGGCTTTAAGGTTATAAGTGATTCATCTATTATTCAAACATGGATTGCTTTTTAGGCCTACCTCAAGCTGACACTTAGGATTAATCAAGTATGGTAAAAATAATATCCAAACTTGAATCAAATTACAAGAGCTCAACAAGACATTTTCCCATACTGTCTTACCAATCAAGCATGTCCAAGCATAAATCATCATATAGTGATATGTCTTCACTTTCAATTCTCTAATTCAAGCAACTCTTATGATCCAAGCTTGAGTGAGATCCTTTAAGTCCTATATGCACAAAATTAAAATAATCAATCATGTATGGTGTGAAAGAAGCAATGCGAAATATAAGTATATGCATATGTATGTCAATTAAGCGTGGGCATTTATTGTCCAAACGTGAATGTAACATTTTAACCTTAAGAACTTATGAGCCTATGACTTTCTACATGATGCATTCTTACCTCAATTCATGTTTATGCTCTCAATTAGTTATTCACAAATTTATCTAGCTAGAAGAATAAAGCAACTACAACATATAATTCTACATGCTCACTCTTGGTTCTTCATTCTCTAGCATGCATATGACATGCTCACTTGTCTTTGAATGCAGCATGTTTATGATGATTTCTCTTATGACTTTTTTATGCTCACTCTTGCTTCTTGATGTTTTGTTACTTGATTCTTGATATTCAATCTGCACAAGTAATAAATATTTTTTCTTTTGGGTATGTTATCAATAAAACACTTAGTTTAACAGAGTTTGCATCTAATCTAAGTTTATGAGCAAGTAAACCTAAAAACATATAAATGATAAATTTGGAGAGTCAACATGAGAGTTTGACAACTATGATCATCAACTCATTCATTCTAAATAGCTAATCATGTACTAGCCATGGTATATTTTTGTCAATATATCCATACATGTGTCATAACCCAACAATATTCCTTCAAATCAATACTATCTCCTAACAGTCTAGACCCTTATGAACTAGAGTCCCAATACCACCAACAGTTCCTAGAGACAAAAGACTTTCTAACCCTTGGGTGGCTAAAGGATAAGAGGATATGGATGAAGACTTTGATAAAGAACAAGTGGAAAGCCTTTTAGCCTGGTGATCTGTATTCTAATCAAGAGTACATACATGAAAGTTTGAGATGACTAGAACCTTATCATCAATCACATGGGGAATCTTCTTTTGCTTTAATTAAGTTTGTCTTTATGTCACCTGTAAGGAATCAATCTATGTCATCTTTACTTTTGAGTCACCTTTGTCAAAAATAACTATCACTTTTTGATAAAATTGTCTGCTTTTGTCATATTGGATTTCATAAAGTTGCTTTTACTATGTTTACTTTTCATCACATCCAACTTTAATTTTTGAAAAAGAATGTACGAGTGTCATGATATATGATTAATGTACAAACGTCATGATATATGATCAATAATATGCTCCTCCCTTCTTCTATAAATTAAGTGTCTGTTGTGTTGTAAGGTAGAACTTGTTTGATACTTGTTTGAATAAACAAAATCAATGTGTTCTCTACCATGCTTCTCTTCTAAACTCTCTCTTCTCTCGTAAAAGCTTGATTCTGTAATATCTTACTTATGCCATACAAAGATTCAAATATGGTCTGCACTTGCCTCCTTAAGGAACCTATGCATCAAAACAAATCCAACCACGATCCATGAGTATGAACTTATGTCACTATGTTTAGAGACCTGTGGGGCACAATTTTATGTCAAACTAGATTAGGGGAAAACCTATGAAGGACCAAAAAGAATTGCACTACCTAAAATCCATATGATCATCAGCAAGGTTGTCAAACTCATAAGTATAAGTAAACTTGTGACGAGGATGTAAACTTAGACCGTAAACTCATAAAAGTGTATCTCTATTAATAAATTGCTATTAAAAGTATGTGATTAAATAATTAAAATATAATATATGACCATAATTTGATTTAAATATATTTTAAATTTAAATTATTGAAATTAAGTCTATCTACGTTGATGCATTATCATACTCAACATAGAAATTTCAAAATAGGACAACTTATTTTTTTTCTTTTTATTAATATTATTTTTTTCTTTTTGAGTTTTATTTTTCTTTGAATCATAACATACCACTTCCATAAATCACGATTTTCTAATTAGAGATGTAAAAAATTAAAGTTGAAGAGTTAACTCGTGAGATTAATTGAATTTGTATCTAGTCCAAATTTATAAGTTAGCCTAGAGAAGTAAAAATGATAAGCTCAATGAGTTAATCCAAGTTTGACAACCATAATCATCAGCTGATTCATTCTAAATCAGCTAATCATGCACTGAGCATGGTATAATTCTGTTAATATATCAATCAGGGACAGACCTAGAACCCATTCAATGTGGGGGCCAAAATGCAAGACTATTTATAATGGGGGCACCAAAGTTAATATTAACATATTTAACAAACAAAAACAATGCAAATTCAACCAAAATTTTGTACCGTGTGGGTCCGTCACTGATTATCAATATTTGTGTCATAACCCGACAATAATCGTTCAAATTCATACTATCTCCGAACTTGTAAGATACAAATGTTATTTAAATACTAACTACCTTTAACTATATATCAATTTGTGTCTTATAAATAGGCCCAGAAATAATATTATTTATGTATTATTTTATGACTAAAATCTACCTTAATCCTTTAATTTTATACAAAATTTTAATTTAGTCTTAATTTTATATTGTAATTTTATAATCCTTTAAACCCTAACACTGTTAGTTTCAATTAATTAGTTTCGTATCAATCATTGTTATTTAAAAAATTAAATTTAATATATTAATATTTAAGAATGTTTTGTCAATATATAAAAGTTAGCATAGGAATTTTTTTTGTTATATTCAGTATAGAAATTTTCTTTATTAATGAAATTAATAGTATTATGATTAAATGACAAAAAAATACTTTATAAAATTAAGAGATCAAAATAAAAATAAAAAAAAACCATGTCTAAAGTTAAATGACTAAATTCTCACTGTAGCTCCATTGTAAGTAATAACTAGAATAGTCTCCTCAACAACAAAGTCCTGGAATGCATGAATTCCGTGGGCAACAGTAATTACATAGTAAGTTGGATTCTAATTATATATATGAATTTAAACTAACAGCATGGCTAGTTGCACAGTACTAATAAGGACAATTAAAAAATTATTTTTTTCTCTTGCCTTCTTTTGTGTGTGTGTGTATATAGGGCCCCAAACCTGCTTGTGCTTTAATAATCACCCACTTTAATAATCATATTGATTTCCTCTTCTCAAACACTCCAAATAATAATGAACTCTCTTCCTGAAACAACGTCTGAAACAATTCCAGATGCCTGGGATTTCAAGGGTCGTCCAGCTCTCAGATCCCAATCTGGTGGTTGGACTTCAGCCGCCATGATTCTAGGTACTTAATTAGCTTCCTCACAAGTTACTTAATTTAACAATATTACACGCACTTCAGGTACACTAACTTGGAAAGACAATAAGTTACTTATGAGACTAACTAGGTCGTCTGGTTTTTTTTGTTGGGTGGCGATCTGATAATTCAATCAGGTGGAGAAGCTATGGAGAGAATGATGACTCTGGGGATCGTTGTGAATTTGGTGACTTATCTGACAGGAACGATGCATCTGGGAAACGCTTCATCTGCCAACATAGTCACCAACTTCTTAGGAACCTCGTTCATGCTGTGTCTGCTCGGAGGTTTTGTGGCCGACACATTTCTGGGCAGGTTTAATTTGACCAGAATATTATTCCCCAGATTCCACTTCTTTTTTTTTTAAATTTAATTTCCTGTATATATATTTTGTTTCCATGTGGTGATTATTGATTATTTAATTCAATCCCTTCTTCCACAGATACCTCACTATTGCCATTTTCGCAGCCGTCCAAGCAACTGTAAGACCTCTGCTATGCATTATTATCTTAACTGCGTCTTTTCAATGTTCAAATTAGGTCTTTGTACTTTTCTCCAAAAAGATTCAAATATTTCTTTGGCAAAATTGAAGAGACATCGTAGAATAAGTTTATATAGCGACGTTAATTGACCTGGGGATAACCGTCTCACGTACTTGCCAGAAACGAGCTTGATTGAAATCGACATTCAACAGTGTCTTTGATGTATAATTGTCGTCTTCATCCCGCAGTTATCATGGAGATATAAATTAATTGATATTTATAATTTTTTAATCTTATCCCTAACTTATCGCAAATTCTTTCTGTCCATCAAATTAAAAGAATTTTCATAACGTTAAAAGAAAAATAATTTATTTTGCATTTTTTTTGTAAAAATAGCATCCTGCCATATTTTCAAATATTTGATATGCTCTTACAATACTATTTATCCTAGAGTGGTTTACTATATATTGTATATTTGTTATTATCGCAATCCGTAGTGATAGGAAACAGTAGTATAAAAAAATATTCGCTCTCAAACACAGACGCGTCTTCTTTTTTTTTTCTTTTTTTTTTAATGCATAATAATACTATGCATAAAATTTAATTTGGAATAATATAATTTCTAGTCTCTAAATTTCCTATCAATAATCGATTTAATTTAAAACTTTGATTTGATGCAACTAAATTCTTATAAAAATTCAATTGTTTCGGATCAAATTTCATGAATTGAAATAAAAAAAATTTAGAAACCAAAAGTTATATTTTCCTATTTAATTAATTATAGAAACTTGCTCCAGTTTGACCTTTCTCTTCCCGTTTGTGATGCTAACCAAGCAAGCCATAGATTGATTTAGATTCAATTTTTAAAAACAAAACATCAATAAGACTTATCTTTAATTAAGGTGAATAATATGAGCTTATAGGATCCAACAATTGAATATTTCAGGGTGTTACAATCTTGGCGATATCAACAGTAATCCGAAGTCTACATCCTCCAAAATGCAATCCAAATACCGACTCCTCATCATGTGTCCCAGCCAACGGCATGCAACTAATGGTTCTCTATTTAGCTCTCTACATCACTGCTCTTGGAACCGGCGGCCTGAAGTCCAGCGTCTCCGGGTTCGGGTCGGATCAGTTTGATGACTCAGACAAGTCGGAGAGGAAGCAGATGATAAAGTTCTTCAACTGGTTCTTCTTCTCCATAAACATAGGATCCCTAGCGGCAGTAACAGTTCTTGTGTACATTCAAGATCACGTGGGAAGAGAATGGGGATATGGGATTTGTGCTTTTGCCATTGTGATTGCTCTTATTGTGTTCTTGTCGGGTACTAGAAGGTACCGGTTCAAGAAACTGGTGGGTAGTCCGTTGACCCAGATCGCGGCGGTGTTCGTTGCTGCTTGGAGGAAGAGACACTTGGAGTTGCCGTCGGATTCGTCGTTGCTGTTTAACGTCGATGATATTGCAGATGGACAGAAGAAGCCCATGTTGCCTCATAGCAAGCAGTTCCGGTAACACATTATATTACCTTCTTAGTCTCATTCATTGGTCGTTTGCTTAAAGAATGAAAATTCAGGTCAACCTGCCTGAGTTAAATGAGTGTCTTAACCAGTTTAATAATGTACTTGTTTTGTCACCGGTTTAATCATGGTTCAATTATAGTTTTAACAATTAATTCTTAAACCAATGTCTTAACTAGTTAAAAACCATTCCAATTTTCAGTACCTTACTTTTAATGCATCCATGGAATTCTTCCTTCCATTAATTTTTACGGTTAAAACAATTTTCTCATGTAAATTACTACAGTAAAGAGCTTTTTCCATGATTTAATTTCTAATAGATATGCATCTGTAAGTGTAGGATTTGAATCATTTCCAATTTCATCCATCCATACTCTTTCCGAATATCTCTCTACATACCCAATTTCATCTGTCCATTTAATTATTTTTTATTTTGTTAACGGACAGATGGGATCAAGTATGTTAAGATGTATTGAAAGAGAATATAAAGAAGATTTAAATTTGTAAGCAGTGTACCTTCCCTAATAAAAACTGTCAGTTGTATGCTGTGGAGGGAACACCGAAATTTCAAAAAGAAAAAAATTAATAGTAATAATTAAGTAGCTTTATTGTCTTCCCATACAATCAAGACAGTCGGTCCCCTTTCTCTCAATTATTCAATGATTTCTAACTTCTCTTGATTTTGGACCACATGATGGTGCCCTCACGTTAAGTGGTTCTTCCATTTATGTAAGAAGAAGCTAATAATGTTGCACAGTGTCACACAAGCATATAATAATCCACCCCTTCATCTTATAAGAATTTTGTGATTCTGAATATAAACTTTGAAAGAGTTTATTTGGTACTAATTGCTTTATTTTAAATATGTTCTTTTTCTCAATTTCTAATCAGGAGATAAATAATGTGTTTATTTTTTTAAAATTTATGGTACTATTTATAAGTTAAAAAAAGGAAATCAAAGAAATTTTTATACAATTTCAATATAACTAATTTTTCTTGATTCTTGAAAATTAGTTATAAGTGACTTATAGTAAAGACCATAACGAGTATCAATAAACAACTTCTTGGGTTTAAGTGGTTGTAATGGTTAGCAAGAAAACAGTACTGATAGGTAGGCCACCGTGTTCGATAATAAGTCCAAATGTCACGTAAATCAGAGGATAAAATGACCATCAAGTGGTTTGGCTCATTGCGGAAATTATAAGCTCATCCAACTTCATTAGCCAGTTTCTTTGGATAATAATTATAGCCACAATAAAGACGAAAACCAGAAGGACCATTCTTTGTCTATTTCTCCATTAGTTGGTAGTATTTTGATAAGTCTATCCAACTAAGTCATGTTAGAATAGAGCCATCAATTAAGGCCGAGCTCTTCAAGCCAACCCTTTCAACCAAAAAAAAAAAAGTAGAACACAATCACTACTTTAGAGTGTAAAATTATAATTCGAGCTTAAAAGAACCAACCCTAAAACAAAAGGGCCGACCCTAGTTAAGCTCTTTTATAATTTTTTTTAAAAATTTAATATTAAAAAATTAAATAATACACTAATTTTAAAACCCTAGTCTCATTTCATGGGAATAAAGAAGAAATATATGAAAAGATTAATAGCTTTGCCACTATTAAGACTCCACAAAGAAAATGACAAAATTATATTGATGTTGATTATAATAAAAATCATCAAGATTTCGCTAATAATGATAACAAAAGTTGATTGTTGTCGGTGCTGATTTTATGATGTTTTTTATGAGTCTTAAATTTGTTTTTATAGATTTAATGTTATATATAATAACTTTTTTGAAATTTTAAATATGTTTTTATATTCTTAAATTAAAAAAAAACATATATATGGCTAAGGCCTTGATGGCTAAGGTCGGGCTAATCAAAATGAAGTCCTAAGGTATAATCGGGTTTTATAGAGCTAGCTCATTTAGGCCTTAGCCCTTCAAAGGCCGAGTAATTGACACCTCTATATTAAAACATTGTCAAGCTTAATTAGAAGTAATTTTTTTCAAAGACATTATCTACATTAATATTCACATGAATTTAAGTGGTCATAGCAAGCTAGAGACCTCTAATATGCCTTTATCTAATGCCGGGTAATGCTTCGACTTCCCATTTTTGCTTTTACTTTTCTTGATATTATTAACTTCTACATAAAATAAAAGACAGTTTAATATCTTGAGATTTTGGAAGAGTGAAGTTTTGTATTTTTATGATTTTTTTGAAGAAAAATATCACAATTACACCCTTTTATTTTTGAAAAATTGTAAAAAATATATAAAACTTCACCGATTCAGGGCTTCAAAATATCAAATTAAAATATCTCTAATTTATATAAAAAGTAATAATACAAAGAAAAATAAAAAATGAAAATAAAAAGTTGGGATAATAAAAGGAGCATTATTAGATAAAAACACATTAGAGATCCCTAACCCAGCCAAAGCCCTTTCTACTATGATCCACAACTGTTGGTTCATTGAATTTTTTAGATCTTTATGCAATATTTATCCAGTACTTCTTCAAGCACAGTAAAAATTATTCCCCCGCCCTTTCTTTGATGTGCAGGTTCTTGGACAAGGCAGCAATAAAGAACCCAGAAATGCCAGAAGAAACAACGAGAGAGAGAAGGTGGTATCTTGCAACCCTAACTGATGTTGAAGAAGTGAAACAGGTGATAAGAATGTTACCCATATGGGCCACCACCATCATGTTTTGGACAGACCACGCCCAAATGATCACATTCTCGGTGTCGCAAGCAACCACCATGGACGGCCACATCGGAAAATCTTTCATTATCCCGCCGGCATCGCTCACTGTCTTCTTGGTAGGAAGCATTCTGCTCGTAGTCCCAATCTACGACAGAATCATCGTCCCCATCACAAGAAAATTTCTTAACAACCCTCACGGAATGACCCCGTTGCAACGCATAGCTGTTGGTCTGTCCTTTTCAATTCTGGCCATGATTGCAGCAGCAGTGACCGAGATCAAGCGGCTCCGATCAGCCGAATCACGCGGGTTGACAGACGATCCAAATGCCCAGATTCCGATGAGTGTGTTGAGGTTGGTCCCACAGTTCTTGCTTGTGGGGGCAGGGGAGGCATTTACGTACATAGGACAGTTAGATTTCTTCCTAAGAGAATGTCCCAAAGGAATGAAGACGATGAGCACAGGGCTGTTCTTAAGCACACTGTCATTAGGGTTTTTCTTCAGCTCAGTGTTGGTGACGATAGTTCATAAGGTGACAGGTCACTCGAGCCCATGGCTAGCAAATAACCTAAACCAAGGGAGGCTTTATAACTTCTATTGGCTTCTGGCTATTTTGAGTGCTTTGAATCTGGTCGCATTCTTGTTTTGTGCCAAAGGGTATGTGTACAAGGAAAAGAGGCTCGCCGAGGAAGGCATAGACTTATTGCAGGAGGAGGAACCTGATGCTGCTTGCCATGCATAGCAAGTTTCCGCTCTAGCCCTTGATTTGGATGTGGAAAAAATTAAATAAAGCGAATAAAACTTTGGGAAAGAAAAGATAATACTATTTTTAAGAGTTTTCTTATTGTAACTAGTATTCTCTCCTCTCATTTTTTTTTTTTCTCTATCCAAATCAAGCCCAAGTCTCAATGTCCTGGTCTCTCCACGTAAAACTTGAAGACTACTTGTGAGACAACTCGTACGTGATCTGATGTAGAATAGTCAAAATTATATCATTTTGTGGCATTTTTACTTGTGTTGTTGTGCATGTGTGTATTTTCGTATGGTCTAGTGCCTAGTGAGTGTAGAAGGAAATAACGAAGTATTTGAGCACCACAAAGATGTAGGATTTGGCGTGATGCGAAGTATCAGGTTTAAGTTTGTAAAACGACATCATTTTGTATCACGAGGCTTGGGTATTCTCTGTTGAGTTCTGGAACTCGAAATGCAAGGTTGTATTGCAATTACCCAATAAGGTGTCTATAATAATGTGAGCGTATCATGCAAAAGTAGAAAGTTTGTAATATACAGAAGAAACTAACGGGTTATTCTCTTGTCAAAATGTCTTGTTTATTTTCTCCCATCTGCAGCCAAAACTTCCTTTATCTACACTCACTCCATGAAAAATTCTTGCATGGACCTAGTATACATCATCCATGCTCAATCCAATAAAATTACACAAATTCAATTAAATAAAATTTTGTATAATCATTTTTAATGACTTCATTTTTAAAATAAAATGCTTATTTAATTTCTTGATTTTTTTTTCTCTCTGCTATCATTAATGGTAAAGTTAATTTAGTAGATGGAACATAGATGATGTGGTATACTAAATTCATGTAAAAATTTCTCTTCATTCCAAATGGTAAAAAGCCAAAATCTTAATTCTATTTATAAAATTTAAAATTTAAAAATTGTTATGAAAATAACAAAAATATAAGAAATTGAGCTGAGAAAAATGAACAAGATCAGACAAGAAAGAATCAGGGGAGGAAAATAGTGAGTGATTCTTATTCACTTCAAGCTTACAATCACTTGATACATGCCTATTATTTATATACCACAAGTCCTTTAATTCTATTTCAAAGAATAAATCTAGACAATGGTAGGATATATAACATTTGAATGTTATGTGTATTAACAATGTGAAACTTCCAAAAGGCCATTCAAGTTGTTGTAGGTTATCAAACTTTAATTGGCTAATGCCAAAGAATAACTCTTGTAAGTTCAGGGACATCTACAATTATATTACAATATTTACAATGAAGTTACCTTCTAAAAGTTTTCCGTTATGTATAACTTATTTTGTAAAATCTGTGAAGCAATTAATATTTGGAAAAATATTACCTAACGACCCATGTAGCCTTTTAACAGCAAATTAAAGAAGGACCACATAATTCTATAATATCACTGCACACCCAGGACCTAACTAAAAATAATATTTAGGGAGAAAAGACCTGATTACCCTTGTTTACTAATGTATGAGGTAATTACATGAGTTAAACTCACAGGCTCGACCTGTCAAAAGATATAGGTCAGGTTGGCCAAAAATGTAACTAGTTTAGATACAAGCTTATTTTGGCCCACACTGCATAACCAAAACTCACAATGGACTAACTGCGGGTTGGCGATTAGCCTGTATATCCCCCCCCCCCCCCCCATTTTAATACTCTTTGATAAGAAACACAATAGATAATAAGCTCACACGATAGGCATTGAGAATTTTGGTGTTTTATTAATCTCCTCCACATAGTGAAAGTGTCATGCATGTGCTACAGATGGTAGGGAATCTAGCACTTTACAGGGCAGTTTAATTATGTTTCTTCCTACTCATTTTTAATTTTTAGATATTTTTTTGTTAATACGTTTGTTTTCTCGAATCGGTCAATTTTTTCTTTTTCCAACTTAACTAGGCTATGGATATGACATGTTTTTCTATTTCTTGGCTACAAACATGATAATGATATTCGGCGCTCACTGTTTTTCTAATTAATATAGCTTTTTTTAGTTTCGCTATCCATTAAAGAAAAAAAAATTCTCAACCCAGTTGTTATTTTTAACCAAAATAAATAAATAAAATTTATATATATGGCTTGATAAGCACCTTTTGTAATCTGCAAAATTAATATTTCATGTTTAACCATACGTTTCGGCATCAAGCTACCCAGAAAATTAAAAAAAAAAAAAAACTGCTTGCCCTTTTTTTTTGGAGGGGGGGGGACTACATACCTTAGGCAGTACTTTACAAGGTAGTTTAATATGATTTTTTTTTACATCAAAATATAATGAAAAGAGGTAAATTTGTAATTTTTAAAATTAAAAAAAATATAAAAATATATGTTTTACTAGCGAGTTAGCCGACCTGTCAGGATGCAAGTTGTGCCAGACCATCATAAGTCAACCCATAGCCTTTAGCTTGGCCCATATTTCTATCTCTAAAAGTGGTTAATTGTCAATATCTGAATATTTGCTTGATTATTCAAGACCAATACTTGTACAATTATTACATGTACTATTTATACAATTATTTGAGACCAATAGTTGCACAATTAATCATGTCCTATCAATTTTTTGAACTGTTCATTAACCGAATGGGTGCTTGTTATTACATATATTTATTTGACAAAACTTAAATGATTGCTTGTTTATTCAGTACCAAGACTTTCACCTGTTATTAATGTATGGCTACTTGTTTATTCAATACCAACACTTGTACAAGTGTGAGTCATGAATAAACAAGTAGCTATATATTAACAACAGGTGAACACCTTCAATTGTGTTTTTTTGGTGATTAGGTATTTTTCCCCTAAATCTTATTTTCAATTGTCAGGTCTCAAGGGTTGTAATGATATTTCGAAACTATAAAGGTCCTTCTTTACTATTAAAAAGCTACAAGGGTCCTTAGGTGATATTTTCCTTTAATATTTTTTCAGCAATATCCTTAATGAGGATTTTCTTGAGTAATTATATATGGTGGAGAAGACAGGAATGGAAATAAATGAGTAAATTTGGGGGGGAAGTTGTTTAAATTAAGAGTAATTTTAATATATAAACTTTTAAAATTTATATAAATTGGTTAAAGACGTGACTTAAAAAAATATAAGGCAAAATGTAATAATAGTTACTCTTAGTTATTTGTAACTAATAAAATTTTTATATTTATAACTTTTTAAATAGATATTTTAATTTTGGCCAAAAAAATAGATATTTTAATTAAACTCATCTTCAATCAAAAAATTTTTAAATTTAACTTTTATTGATATTTTTTTATATCTAAGTGCTATTTTCCCATGAATTTAGTGGGTTAAAAACTTATCTATGTAAGAAATCTGAGTTACGCAGCCGACATTGAGGATATTTTAACCAAGGCCCAATCTACAAGTTGTCTTTCTTTTCGTTCTTTTTCTTGATAAAGTAAGACAACTTTAACCATTGCTTTTTTTTTTTTTTTTTGGTACCAAAAACCAATGTTTCTTGATCTCGCCTAGTATATGACAATATAATACGATTGGTCGGAACTAGCACAACGAAACAAAAATGTGTCAATCTCCTGACAAATAATTAAAAACAGACTTACTTCCAACTATAATATGAGATATTTTTTAAAAATTTTACTTAATTCAAATATAAAATATTAAATAATTTTTATATTTATTTTAATTTTAACTATATTCCTATTTTATTTATTATTTTTTAAAAAAATCACGCATAGAAATTTTAATTACTATTATCAAAGCTTTTATATATAATATTTAATGAGGATATAAATAGGATGATGTTGATATTTTTAAAATTTTAACTAATATTATTTATAAACTGTGAATTAGTTAACTATTATTTATATGGTAATCTAGATGAAGTATAATTTAACAAGTTCCTTGCATTATAAAACATGCTGCTGAAATGATACTTTTATATATTGAATAATTATTTAGAAAAATTAATCTACTAGTCCTTATAGTTTTAATTCAATTGTAACTCAATCATTAAACTTTGACTCGTTGTAACTCAATTTTTAAAATTTTGACTTGATTATAACTCAATCCCCAAATTTTAATTCTTGCAACTCAATCCTTATAATTTCAACCATTTAAATTATAAAGATTAAAATTATATCAAAATTTATTATTAATATTTTAAATTACTAAACCCTTTTAATCTTTATAAATATTATAAATATTAAAAGTTTAAATTATTTTTCAATCTTTATAATTTTATTTTTAAAATTATAAGAACAATATTTAAATGGTTGAAATTATAGAGACTGAATTACAAAAGGCAAAATTTAAAAATTAAATTACAATCAAATTAAAATTATAAGGACTAAATTATAACTATCAAAATTATAAAAATTGAGTTATCAAATTATAAGTATCAAACTCTTATTATTTTGTTCTCATCCAAAGAGAACAATATAACCTCACTAGTCACTACAGCTATATATATGCGCATAGAATAAGAAATGATTCATTCGATGAGATCAGAATCACGGACTATAGACAAAAGCTTCAAAACACAGTTCACTAAAACTTCACATGAATACTATTACTAAAAAAAATAAAAACCAGTACATCCAAAAAAAAAATTAAAACCAGGCATTCTAGACAACTTAAAAAACTTGGTTTAATGTAACCAAAAAATTAACACTTAATCAATGTCTTTGGTGGGAACAACCTGCGTGGGAGAGAATATATTGAGAGAACAAAGCACGTGCAAATCCATTGAGTTTGAGATAAATGAGATATTGTTGGGAGGGCTTTATATTCTTTTGAGTCCAAAATATGGAAACAAATTCTAGGGAATAAAAAGCTGTCTCAAACCCATTTGTATTTTGTAATAACGTATCCAGAAATGTCCAAAAATATCTGCCAATAATTTAATACACCCAATGATAGGAGGGCCTTCGATCTGCACATATGTTTCTTCTACATTTAGCCCCTTCTTTAAGTTTGTACCGTTTTCAAATGCAACGTACTGCTTTTAATATTATAAAATACTTTTGATTGAATTATATTTTTTAATGATTTCATTAATTGTTTTAAAATCTTATTTTTTATATTTATTCTTATTTAATAAGATATTCTAATTTTAAAAATTTATTAAACACACTCCTTAAGTAAGGGAATTTTTGAAAAAAATTTATTATTTTTGAAAAAAATTTATTAATTACACTTTAAAATACCAAAAATATCTTATAATTTTTTAACATGATGTTGATGCGTTTTTTTTTATATAAATATGTCATTTTTTTCACTTTTTAGATTATACTCTATTCAAACCTATTTATAATGCATTTTTTTTCATTCTATTTATAAATCATTTTTAATATATTTAATTAAAATTAAAAAAATTTAAAACTCATTAATTATCTTTAAAAATTTAATAAATTTTTAATTTTATTTTTATTAAATATATATACTTTAGTAATATATTTTCTTTTATTAACGTTTAATAGACAATAAAGGGATAATTTTGTAATATAAAATCAATCACATGCTTCATGAATAGGACTACAAAAAAATATTGCTCTCCCTGTCTTTATAAATTTGATTAGCTTAACGAACTTTTACTAATTTCATTAGTATGTGCAAATTAGGTACTTATGCCTTATAATTGATGAGACTGTCTATCAGAGATTACTATCATTTATCCTGTCAGTCATGTGTACTTTAAATAGAACACTGTCTTATCTCACATTAATGTTAATATATGCGCACACAAAAAGCAGTTTTTTTGCATTTAATCAGGATGCATGTACGGACTGAATGGAATATTGAAAATTTAAAAAAAAAAAAAAAAAGACCTGTCAAGGCCCCATCCATCTGGCCTGCATGACTACTGACCAGAATAATTTGATCATGTTTAAGAACTTAATTTTTCTCAGCATGAAAGTAAAAAAAAAAAAAAGATAAAACCGAGCAAGTAAGGGCCGTTTGATTTTCTTTCCATTTTTCAAAAAAACTTATTTTGGAAACCAATTTATAATTTTTAAAATAAAAATAAAATATATTTAATTATGTTAATTTTAAAAAAAATAGAGTTAAAAGATTAAGTGATAGTGATGGTCTCATTTTGGTAAGTGTTTTAAATTTAAATTTTTTTCAAAATTGTATTATTTTTTTTTTTAAAAAAAGAAGAAACATTATAGAGCTATTTTCATTTTTTTCAATTTTTAAGCACATGACATCTTCAGGGGGTAAAAAACAGACACACATGATTGTCAGTTATAACCAACTGCTACCATAAACCATTACCATTTCTTGGCACATCTTGGAATTTTACTGCTGATGAATTGATTTATTATTATTATTATCTTGAAAGCTGGTACTCTCTCCATTTCTAATTATAAAATAAGTTTTTGGGATATAATATCCTTATTTATCCCCTCCGATCTTTAATATAAGAAAAAATTTGCCAAAATATTAATCAATAATATAAGGGCATAAGGCAAGGTTAGAGTAATTAATTTTTTTTAATTTCATCCCTTATTCATTTTTTATAGTTTGAATTCCTAGACAATTATTTAATATAACTATTAATTGCAAAGAAAGACAAAATTAAAAAAAAATTACATATATTTTAAATAATTTTAAGGATACAACTATAATTTTTTTAATAAACTTGAAGTTGATTAAATTTATCTTATATTAAGGACCAAATAGAGTATACTTCATCTATTTATTTATGTAAAAAATTAACTATATGACACAATTTAAAAAAATCAGTTAACTACAATAATTATGTCTAAAAAAATAAACTAAAATGCCCATGTATTCAATCAAAATAAAACTGCATTGATTGTTTCTCATAAATGAAAATTATGAGCTCATGAGAGATAATCTAAAAAAATTGTAATAAATACTAATTAAGGTATGTTATTTTACTTATAAAGAAAAACCAAACAATAAGTGATAGTTTCTCTTATATATAAAAATGAAGAGAGTATGTTAGATACTCCCTTAATCATATTTATAAGGCAGAAAGAGAAGAACTTTTTTATCCTGTATAGAAGTTACGTCATTAATTTTTTATCATAATTTTTTCCTTTTACCCTCTATCAAATGTTAGTGAAAGAAAGTATGTTATTAAAGCATGTACATTTAATAGAGAGAAAGTTAAAAATTTATTAAATTTTTAGATAGAGTTAATGAGTTTTAATATTTTACATAATTTTGATAAAATAGTTAAAAGTGGCTTATGAATAACACTAGAGAAATAACTTGCAAACTATTAGGAATATTTAATACTCCTCTAGTCCCATTTATAGAGTAGGAAGAGAGTATTTGTTTTAATTCTATTTATAGAATACCTTAATGATTATTGTATTCATCTCTATTTTTTCACTTCTATTAAATGTTGGAAAGGTTATTAAATGCTAGAATATTATATTTTTAAAGTATGTATATTAGATAGAATAGAGTTGAAAACTTATTGAATTTTAAAACAAAATTAATGAGGTGCAAGATTTTTCTTAATCATGATGAAAATGCTGGAAGTCACTTATAAATAGGACTAAAAAATAATTTTTTTTTCAAAATGCCTCTAATCAATAAATAAATAGATAAAAAGACTTGACCCACCTAAAAATAAAGTTAAAAAATAATGTGCATAAATTGATGGTAGCAGTGAAAATATGACCCCCCCAAAAAAAAAAAATTAAGACACAAATTAGTTAAAACTGTATTATTCATGCGTGAATGTTTAATAGTTTCAAAAATCCCAAGGCTCGCAATAAGTAATAACACGTCACAACTCCCATACTCTTAATTAGCATCATTAATATGATAAAATTATCCTAAATTTTTTTTGCTACATGGCAATTAGTATTCTTAACTTTCAATTGGTGCAATATTATCATGAAAGTTTTGATAAAAGAAAAGGTACAATATCTTTCTATAATAACATTTGACCTATGGTGATCTTTGATAGAAAAATTCAGACTAGAGTTAAAAAAATAATTTTGCCTCCTAAGTCTTTTTAAATAAGCAAATAATGTCATGAACTTTCAACTAATGCAATATTTTTTTGTTATCAATTTTGAAATATAAAGAAATATCTAGCGACTCATTATCAATGTTTAAAAATAATTCATATTTTCAGACTTTGATTAGAGTTAGCTGAGGTTGCTTAGGTGCAAACCAAAACTTACCTAAGCATTCAATGGATTTTTCCTTGAGCAAAGTCCAAACTTCTTTTTACTTTGCAAACGAGCAAGTCCAGATGTGTGTCTATGAACAGGTATGGGCTTGCAAAGGCCTAATGATGAACGAAATGGTCAAATATAAACTTGTCCATAACTTGAATTATAACTTAAAGGTATTTAATATAATTTAATCCTAATAGGTTGTTGGATCATTTTTCTTATTGAGCCCATTGAAATTTTAGAATACTAATTGTTCATTTAGACAAATTTACAAGACAAAAATCCTCTTTTAACTTTCAAAAATAACTATCGACGTTGGTCAAATATTATTATAAAATAATATGGTATCACTTTTTTAACATTTTGTATAAAATTACACCAATTAAAACTTAAAAAATACCTGTCGCACCTAATAGAAAATTTTTAGAACAAGCTTACCCTTTAACCTCACCGCCTCTTGAATGCACAACACTCAAATTACTAATTAAAAAAGGTTAAGTTCCCAATCTACCCAATTTAAGATATTATTTCTCATTCTCTCTGCATCGTTACAATTTTATAGAAAACTTTCCCCCTCTATTTGTGTTCCTCCTTCCTACTTATTTTTCTCACTCCTCTCTCTTCTCTCTCTTCCAGAAAAACAAAATACTCCATCTGGTAACTAGTATACATAAGATTACTTATTTGTTCTAGTCGTACAGTATAAAGAACCACATAAAAAGGACCAGAGACCAAGAGAGCATAAAGTAATTAATTTGTGTATTTTTATTATAAACCTGTTGAAGTATGAAGTGATGGAAGGTTTGTGCTCTCGAGATGCAACCCAATCCATGGTGTGGGAAGTTTATAGTTTGTCAACAAAATGTATATGAAGTGTGAACTACACATTTGTCCAAAAAAAAAAAAAGAACTATACATTTTAAAAGAGAAGGATAACAAAAAAGAATCAATTTATTTAGGAAGGAAAATATACCTTGTAATCTATTGTTTCTGATAAAATTACAAGCCACGAAGGCAAGTACTATAGATATCAGAGGGAATCATACATTAAGTGGATATAACACGGCTACATACAAACAACAACATTCTTATTCTGAAAAATAAAAAAGGCATAATACTGCACTAATCCTAACATAGTGAGAGGACACGCCCTGATGCACCTTCGCTAAGCTGAGTTCTTTTCTCAGAGAGATTATGACTAGACCCAAAAAAAAAACTGCAGAGCTAAAAATACATTCAAGTAATACGCTTCTGAGGTCAAGGAAAAAAAATTACAAAAGTCGTCCAGCTGACCTAGGCTATATTCCAAAGTAAATCTCATATTTGCTAAGCAACTATAAGGGGAAAAAAAAAAAAGAGTTGCGTTATTTCAAGTTTACCCCCTTTGTTCTGGTTTATGATCACTTCCATTTCCATATATCAGCAACAAAAGGGCAATCAATAACGAAGCTTTATGCTGAGAACTAGAGGGCACCATTTTACGAGGTTCTACTGTCACCTTCATCCTGTCTTAACACACTGCCCTGTATGAATTCTGCCTTCTTTACCATTAACTGCAACATTATTGTCAGGTCATTGTCACAGGTTTGGCCAGCTTTGGTGTAATAATTATGCGTCCAGACCAGACAGAAACAACTGTCCCAGACAAATCTCAGGTGCCTTTTGGGAAATTTTATATCACATCTTCCAAGCAGCATAAATATGTGAAGGAAATCATTTAAATACTGAACCATATGTATATTTAAATAAATATATATTAATCTGTTATGCCTTGATTGGAAAATGGCACCTGGGCTTTGTTCTTCACACAAGTTTTATGCACATGCATGCAAATGTTTAATTGATTTCTAAGGGGGAAAACATACATAAACTAGTTCTTCATAGAGAGCCTATCAAATGATGGTTTACAAGTGTTTACCTGAACTGAAATAATCAAGATGCATCCAAAGGAGCAACTGTGTCTCCATTAAATTCACCAAATATATTTGGGCATCCATCCCATTTTCCTCGGTCTCTGGCTTCCCAATACCCGCCTACGTATCGAAATGTTCCATTTTCACCATCTCTTTGGAACCATTTAGGTTTCCAACCATTTTCTTGGATTTTCCTAGACTGCGGACGCAAGAACAAGGATAATTAACATTATAGTTGGAAAAACACTTTAAAATTAAGAATAGTATATTGGCTTTACGCTAGTACGCATTTGGGTTGCTCAAATTCCAAATTACAGGTTCCTAGAAGCTATGGTATCAACGCTCAATAGGAATGTGAATGCTTAAGAATAAGTATTAGTATGACAGCAATAACCATAGGTCAAACAATATAAGGCCACAATTTGCTTACCGCTAACACTGAAAGTACTTGTCAACACAGTTCTGATTAAAATTAAAGGCCAAACCGGCATAGCTGACATCACATGCAACTAACAACTCAAATAAACAAGAGAAAATGCAATCATTAGTTTTTATAGTTTTTATCAAATTTTGCTCGTAGTTTTTTTCATTGTTTTCAATTCTGAAACAATAGGGTCCTAAGCAAGTCATCCAATCTTGCTGAAACTTTAGGGACTGGAAATATGTAAAAAATTAAAGGGACTAAAAGCAAAACCCCATGAACTGATGATTACGTTTTCCCCATAAATAATCAGAAAATGCTGAAATGAAACACAAAATATAGAGAAAGCAATGTTGTACCACCAAGAAGTCATGCATCGCCAATGCTTTATAAATATTACTCCATTCTAATTTATAAGACAAGTCACAAAATTCTACATACCAATCAAACTCATTAAATATACTTTACAGTTTTATTTTTTCAAAACAAAAATATAAATTTCAAAAAATATTGTTCATTTAATACTCTATTTATGAAAGAATATTAAAGAAAGAATATAATAAGAAGGATAATATTGGAAAAGCATTATCATGAAACCTTATTCTTCTTAAAGTGCCTTATATTTTGAGATATCGAGTTCCCCAAAAGTGTCCTATAATTTGGGATGAAGGTAATATTGATCATCATACTTTTTTTTTTTTGAAATAAAGTCAAATTAATATATTAGCTAAAAAACATAAAAAGTTGTATTAATCATCATACAAGAGCTGTAAAGCTTGAAACAGTATTTTAATATAATATGCTTATTGAGAACCGCAGTACAGAATTAAAGAGCAAGGTGTAAAGTGTAAACATACCATTCTTTGCCTCTTCTCCAGCCTTTGCTTCTCCAAATTCGCCTTCTCATATTCCCCATTCTCTAGATGCCGCTGATCTGGTCTCATCCTGGAATCCGTGGGCGGGAGCTTCTCCTTTAATCCGTGATCAAATACCGGGGATCAGACAAAGCTATAAAAAACAATTAGAGATGACTAAATAAGAAAATGGAAACGCACATCAAATAATCATTTAACACATCATCACTACCTTCAGTCCTGGCAAAAGCTCGTTCAGAGTGATAGCAAATGATGTCATATTGTACCGAGTGAGATTAGTTGGAGGTTTACTCCTTTTCCACAACAACGGTGCATCTGATGAAGTTACATGTTTGGACTTGACATTCCCATCACCAATAGCATAGAACATGCTGTCATCCCACTTGCCAAATAATGTGGCAGCTTTTTTCCCCGTAACATCTTCAACAAATCCATGCACCTAGTCAGAGACATATTATCGAGTGAGGTATGAAACGAAATAAAAAGTAGAAGATATCTTATTTCAAAATTATGAGTCAGAGAATGGGGGAAGAGCAAAGGCGGGAAGAAATAAAGGTTTCAAGGAAATTTGAAAACGTAAGCAAACCAACGAAAATTTAAGTATTAAGCACAACGGAACCCCAAGGCTAGGCCCTACCTGGTGAGGATTTCGGTCAAGAATAGACTGCTCTTTAAACTTAAGCCTGCATGAATACTGGCGATTACCGCGTATGTCCATGTTTCCATGATGATCACAGTATATTTTACCAAGTATAAGATTGTAAATTGATGTAGTGACCTAATAAGAAGAACAACAATGACAATCATAACGACGTGAATAAAAAATTAGTACAACTTCAAAGCCTTGCTCCACCACGGGTGGGCAATACATTTCTAAGTTAACTAGAATTCTTCTAACAACGCACACCTTACTCCACTGAAATATTTCACCGTCGTCAAATTCTATGGTCAGAACTCCCACTGGGTCAAGCTGAATTGACCTGCCCCAAAACTTTGAATGAATGTTACTGTCACCCCAAAACTTCCATCCCCTACCTTCACAGTGGCAGGCAATGAGAGTTGGATGATGACTGACCTGTAGTTGATTGTTGCACAATGATATGAAGAATAATTAGGCAAGCAAGCAGAAAATAATTTTCCAAGCAGATAGGTAAGCAGTTGGCACAGCAGTTCTGTGTATTGTTGATGAAAAATGCATATATACCACAGAAGTCTCATATATCTGCAAATTTTTTTATTTGCTTTATCATTTTAGAAAACCCAAGATTATTGGCTTAGATCAGGCGTCAGCGTACAGAAAGGGAGTTAATAACCATGAACAAATAACACTAACACTGCTTTTTATGGCCTGTTTAGCCTAGCTTCTGAAAATAAATTTTAAGTTTTGGCGTAAGAGTAGGCTTCTTTCCAGTAGTATCAAAAACACTCTTTGTAAGGGAAGTTTCTTCAATTCATTTGTTTTGTTTTAATTACGGCTTATTTGTTGTTGACTTAATTTTAGGAGTTAGGACATCGCTTTTATGTATTTTAAGATGATCTCAAGCGTTCTATTAGGATTAAGATAGTTACCTGCAAACGAAATGATGCATTCCATTTATTTAAATATAGTAAATTCAATGGATCATTAACCTAAACTCCTACAAAATTCTTCAAGGAAGCAAAAGCAGAAATTAGGCATTATTTTAAGACAGCAGTACCACCCCCCTGAGCAAAATCATTAATTACCATACCTTACTTTTCGGACCTATACCCTCTTAAAATGCATACACTTTTTTATGTAATTTCTTAGGGGAAGCAACATTTTTTTTTTTTAAGACCAGCCAAGCATGATAAAATATCGATTGAAGTACCTGTGTTTTCCCCACACACTAATTACTTTGTCAGTGCCTAACTATAATTTAAGAGAAGCTATTTCAAAAGAAAAAAAAAAAGCACACACACCCCCCCAACCTCTGAGGCTCTGACGTTGATAAAATCCAAAAAATTTTATTTTCCCATAGAATAACATGTTAAAATTGCAAAACTGTTAACTGTTGCAGATCAAAGCTAAGTTGGAACCATATCTTCATTTTATAAAAGCTATCAAGGTTTTTTTTTTTTAGCCACTGGGAAAATCTTTAATGAAACTTCAGGTTTTAAAAAGTAATAGTTAATAATTTAATAACGTTTCACAAGGAAGAAGCTTGAAATATCGATATATTCAAAATATAAGAACTTCAAGTCAATTAATTATAAAACCGTTTCTTAGTCAAAAATTCATAGCACATCTTCATAACTGTATATATCTAAGGCATAACTCTGCATCATTAATGCACTAACCTTTTCAGAAAAGAAGCGAATTCCTTTATCAGGATAATCAGCTTCATAAGTTTCCCCTAACAAAGGATTAAAGGGTTTACAGTGACGACCTTCAGATGATGCATATCCAGAAACTGCAAAGGCTGCAACATTCAGTGCCCGAAGGAGACCGTTTCCCTGAAAATGACAGTATCATATTTAATAGCATCAAAATGAAGCAACATTTCACACTCGTGATCTGCAAACAATTTGCCAAAGAAATTGTGAACTGAGGAAAAGAAACAGATCTCCCTCGAAGTTGCTGAATCATTTATACAAGAATTCTCCTTGAAATTGTCTCGAACTCATTAACTGAACTTAGAAAGGACCACCATACAGAAGCAGAAACAGTACTTGCCTATCATGTTAAATATTGTATAAAACTGAACACATTTACATTAAATATTCAGGCAACGGTCCAAAATATAGATCACCAAAAACAGGCGAAAACTGAAAAGAGTGTCCAAAATTATTTCACGCCTAAATAATCAATGTTCAAAATAATCAGCATTTAAATATTAGTCACGTAGAAAAAAACATATTTGCATGAAATACTTAATAATGTTCCCAGTATGTTACACCTGAATGAATCATTGTTCAAAATTAGTTTAACCCATACTTCTATGCCAAGGTTAAATTATCACAAGCAGAAACCATGACTTTTTTGTATTCCCAAACTCAACAGAGCCTAAATCCTGCACGAATAAACTCACTCATGAAAAAGGAAATGTTTGATTGCATAAGTACAATGTAAATATAATTCAAGATCTAAAAAATATATGAAATCACCATATCAATAGCTGAAATTATTGAAAGTTCAAGGGAAATTGATGCAATTGGAGATCAGATCAGCAAAGACAAATATCCATTTACCAAATGAAGTTTGAAAATTATAAACAAAACACTAGTTTTAAATGATTTGGTCTTACTGATTTTCCATACTCATAAGCTCGGTCCAAAAGGTAAGAGTATTCGAGGTCTTCACAACATTTCTGAAGGGAAGATATTGGCTCATTAAAGTACACAGGAAGGCAAATGCGAGAGAGATCCTTTCCCACATTATCTTTGATCATTGACCAAAGACTAACACCCTTCTCTTTCTCAACAGGATCAGGAAGCTTTCTTCGTCTTGTAATCTGAGGATAACTAGAATTATAGACTGCCTTTTCAGGCTGAATTTTCTTGAGATCAATGCATTGTGCATCGGTTTCCCCAGGCTTGCCCGCTGGAACCAGAGGTCCTGATGACCCACACCTGAAACCAGGTTCTGCAAAGCACTCTTCAGTGTCATAGTATGAGATTTCATCTTCATCTGACACTTCTTCCATCTCCTGCTTCTCAATATCTTCAGATGATTCAGTTGTACTGCATTCTGAGCAACAAAGAATATGAAAAAGACTTTACATAAAAGGCTGCAAACAAGTTCTATGTAAACAATTGTACCCAAAAGGAACTTCCATATTTATCAGAAGACAACCTAACCGTTCAAATTTATAAACAAATAAGGTTTTTAATAGTAGTTTGCATCCGTAATTATGATTACAAACTTACTATTGTGATTAATTTCACAACCGCATCACAGTGCCATTGCAATCTAAAATGGCTATACTTCGCCATATTTTGTTGCATTTTCTTGCGAAGACCAAAATCACAATTCGAAACCTTGATTACCGTATCCAACGAAGAGAGAAAAATTGAAATATTATTTGAAGCACAGATTAAAAGACGTGCAAGGCCTGTACCTTCAGTTCACAGAGCAAATACCTTGCACATATTTAAGGAAAAAAAAAATATAGATCATTAGAAGTCAACAAGTAGAGATGCATAAACCAGAATTCACCATTGGTATTAATTTAACTGAAAAACAATGCATTGGAAGTCCTAGCCAATCAGTTAATTTTTAGATCACTAATTTAGCTGCAAACAATGAATTCAAACAGATTTGGATCTTAAAAATGAATAAAATTAATAAATGACAATTCAGAGTACAGAGATTCCCGGTTTTTATGTAAATGGTGATGAAATATATACACATAAGAAGTAAAATCCAAACCCCTCAAATTAGGCGAAGACATAAAACATTTGGGTTCATGCGCTAATGACATTCAACGAATAGCTTCGAATAATTCAAGACATGTTCGTACAAAATATGTCAGCAAATATTCTTAATGTTCATGCAAGACAGACCATAGGCCCTTATGTCATCAAAGAACGCAACACAGGTTATTTATAAAACCGCATGCTGATGAGGTTACTTCAAGAGGGAAGAAAAGTAACAGCATATGTATGTAGAGTACCACTATACTTTCCACGTCCTAAACTTGAAAATTCATGCTTAGTTAACTGGTATTCACCATCATGGAGCCCAGAGGCCTCGGGTTCAATATTAGCTGCCTGTTTAGAATTAATAAAAAAAAATATTTTATGTTAAGTCACATACAAAAGGAACAATTCAAAAGGCACTGCAAATAATGATAGTCAAGATTAGACAGATAGATGTGGAAAAAGAAAATGGTAACAAGTCAAGTGCGCAGCAAATAATGATAACATTCTGTTTGGTGGCAGATTAAACAGTTGATCGATTAAGTCCTCAACCAAAATGACCTATGACACGATTGCTGAAAGGCATTTTACAAAAAGCACCATGATAGCAAATAAGCGAAACCACTGGAACCAATAGATCCTAACGCATATTATGTGGCCTGATTTAAAACAACAATGCAAATTATAAACTTCACTTTGAATTGCATGAATCAAATCGGATTCTTATCTCCTATTTTGATAGATAATAGAGCCACTTATTTCTTAAGCATCCATCCATATAGTATGCAAAATATTTATTTAATTCTTCATATACAGAAGAGATTAAATAAAAATAAAAATTCAAGATTGTAATTATCAGTAAAAACACTCAAACCTTCACCTTGAAGAAAATACATCAACATTTATCTCGTTATTTTTGAAATTATACATTCATCATCATATTGGAAGTTTGAAACTGCCACGAACAAAAAAGAATCAAGGTAAAGATAAGAAAGAAACAACAGTTGCCACGATAGTTCACAAATAGAACAACCGTGAGAAAAGTCTCACAGTAATAAAAAATTTACAATAACAATAACTTTAAAGCCAAACAGAAAACGAAACAAAAGCAAAAGTGAATATTGCAGCTGTTAGAATGATGTACTCAAGGAATAAGACAGCATATCACGATCAAGATGACTAGGTACTGTACACCAAAGACGAGAACCGCCACAAGAAAATAAAGATAAGAAATCATGTAACTTAAAGTCAATATATTGCGACACAATTTTTAATTTAAAGAACCGACACTTTCTCCTTCAAATCCATAATTGGGTCGAGTTTTGTGAGGAAAAATTAATATGACAATGACCTAGGTTTTATAAAGAACCGATCATCGAGATTGTAACAAGTATTTCCACAGGTAATGTACTGTAAGATTTGTACGAGTCTTGGGGATAACTTTTAAGGCGACATCACATCAAAGTAAAAAAATTCTTGATGAAATGCATGTGGCTCCCAATCCATCGCCTCTGAAACATCTTAAAAAAAAAAATCAACCAAAATATAATAATAACGGGATTATTGAGTTACCTCCAACTGCCTTATTGTATCAAGCAAATTTGATCGCTCTTCACAAAGAATTTGAAGTTGCCCTTGCATTCTCGAGAATTCAGAGAGCATTATTTGCTCACACTCCTTCACAACGTTCTCAGCAGTTCCTTCCTCGAGCAAACGCTTTTTCAGGCTCTCAGTTGATATAGATATATCAGTGGGTACAAGAGAAATATCATCCTTCAGTGATCTAATCGGATACAAGCTACGAGTCGATTCCAATGCTCGCATCCACGCCTCCCGATCTTTCCTCGAATCAGTTCTCAGATGGAGAGTCTTGGTAGCAGTAAAGATATAGAACCGCCGATCGTCTGATTTGCTCTCTCTAAAGGACGAAACCTGCCAAACATTCACACAAGATATCATTTAACTTTAGAAGAATCAGCATTTTACAGGAAAACAAGAAGATTCTGCAAGGATGACAACTTCTGAGAAGTGTTCTGAGCATGAAATAAGCAATAGACAAATGCAATGCTTAGGCGAGTATCAGAAGATATCAAGTCCACGTGAGTTAGATTCGAAATCCATAAGCAGTAGACTAAACTGGAGAGTGGAGAGGACAGCCCATCATAGAAGACTCTGCCATAAAGATAAATAGAATCAAGCATTTCTAACGTGGCAAGAAATGGATAAGACCCCAAAAACCTCAAGAACTAAATACTCAAAATTTGTTGGCTATAAGAGAGTTAATCACAATTAACTTGATACTAAATCCAGTGAGGAACGAAGATGCTAGAAAAATTCAAGACAAGGAAATGAGTAGAGAAAGTGTGGGTTCTTGAACAGTAGGAACATAGTCCCTATTATCCTTTGCTAAAAAACAAGCATAAAAGTATAAAACGTTAAATTTGAAACGCAGGACATACCCCACATATTGCTTTGTTTGTCAAGTCCACGTATTTATTTATTTAACAAGAAAAAGAAATGTCCTGAATTTTTTTTTTATTGTTTTAACAAAAAGTACTATATGTCAATTACTCTTCATTAATCATTACCCTTCAAAACAGACTTGTAAATCCAATGCAAAATCACCAGCTGAAATTTTTCTTTACTTGTCCTCAAAATCCACACCTCAGTTGAAGTTGCTTAAAGCAACGCAGGTTACGCGACGCAACATACTTCAAAGACATCGCATCAAACCCCGAGACGCTACAATTACACTCAACAGAGTCCAAGATCCCTAATTACCCACCGTTCGATTAATCACCTCAATGTTGCTATTATTCTTTTTTCTCACCTAAGAGTTAACGCCTTCAAATTTTCTATCGCGAAATGATAACTACTTAAAAAAATGTATAGCCAAGTTGCGGTTTACTTTCTCGAACCAACCAACAAACAGTATCGGTCGCTCAGAAACGCAAAGCGTTAGCTTTAGATGAAGGAGGAAGGAGGAAGGTGAATAGAGATGAGCAGTGATTTTTGAAGGAGATGATGAAAATTAGGTCGGATCTGCAGAAAATGGTGAAACGACGGTGTGAGGGAGGAAGAAATAGGAGCTCAAATCCCACCAATGTGGCAATGCCAATGAAGGAGATGATGTGACCGCAAGTTAATGCCTAGGGCTACGGTGCAGGCTATCTCCACTCTCGGTCACCTGCTGATGTGACCCACTCTACATTAACAAGTAGTTAAAACTGCAAAACAAGGATTGAAAAGTTGAATTCCGAAATTGAAATCACAAACAAAAGCCCAGAAGAGAGAGAAAGTCACAAGCGAACAATGGTAGAAACCCTCGGTTTAACACATTATTGCTCAGACATCCAAGCTTCTTTACCTTTTTAATCTATTGACAAAACTAAAAAGAATCAAGTTTGGGAATTTTCATGACGCAATTTGTTTATCCTGCCCCAAAAGTAAAAGACGAAATATGGGGAAAAAAATAATAAAAGAAAACAGTAATCATATTTGAAATCAAAACGTCGCTCCTACAGGAAACTCGCAGTGAACTAGCGCGAAAAAAGTGAACACCCACTGGTCAGGAGTTTCTTGGCTGGTATTCTTTCTTGTGAGTGGAGAAATAAAGAGATAAAAGAAGCGATTCAAGTACCCAAGTACGAACGTACCTTGAGGTGGACTACGCCAGACGCAGATTTCTGGTTCTTCCGACGCACGGTACTCCCGCTGTCCATCCTCGCCAATCGGTTAGTTGAGATTTCGCCAATCAACCTGACGTCGTCGGTCGGCGTGAGGAGATTGAGGTTTTCCGGCCACCGGATCTTGGCGTAAGAGAGGACACCATTTCTCAAGAGGAACCAACGCGATCTCCACCCCTTGCTGTAATTGGTCCACTTATAGAGGATCCCAGCCACGGTGGCCTCCGATCCCCGAGCCCGCCCACCGGCATTGCGCTCAGATCCGACCGCAGCAAAACTCGCTGGCAGACTCCTAGTCCTGGAAAGCGAAGCGTCTGGTGACTGATTACCGATTCCGGGACTCTCCAGCGAGATACAGCAAAGAGGATGCATTTCCTTCACCCGCATTTTGACTCCCAAACGATTCCCTTCTTCTTCTTTCAATTGTCCATTAGAGGTAAGGATACAGCTGCTTCACAGAACGAGGGAGATCGAAGATCGAGAGATTAATTGAGAAGGAAGGAAGGAGGGGGTCACATTGAATACGAGATTGGAGTGAAAGGAAATAGAGATAGCTTGAATTGATGGGAAAGTGTAGTGAAAAGGAATGGTAGGGGGTTTTTGGTATTTAGAAATAGAGAGAGGCTTTTGGGTTACGAAACTGAGTTATATAGACGGAAAACGCAAAGGAAAAGGAAGAGGGAATGAAGGTGGTGGGTGGGTAATAAAGGATGTGGCAGAATGGTAATTTAAAGCGGTTATTCCCTCTCCTTCGCCTTCGTCTTCGTCTTCGTCTTCGTCTTCCTGAGTCTGCAACTTCTGTTCTGTTTTGTTCAGCTGGCTCCTCCTCCTTCTCCTCTTTGGCCTATTTAACTTTTGAAATTGGTGGGAGCTTAGAGAGAGAGAGAGAGAGAGAGAGAGAGAGAGAGAGAGAAGGTGAGAGAGATATCGCGAGTAAATGGGGGGCGGGAATGATATCGGGAAAATATCGGAAGAAGACAGAGAGTTGAACGGAGAGAAGAGAAAGAGAAGAAGAAGAAAGTGGCAGTGGATGGTCATGAGTCGGAAACTGAATCCTCTTATAATAAATGTCATTTACTGCGTAATCATGATTTTTCCCTTCTTTTTCTTTCTTATCTTTATCCTGTATACGTAAAATTAATCAATGTAGCTTTATGATACAAATTTATTTTCTTTTGGTGAAATATAAATTATTTAACTTACTAATGATAATAAAAATATAAATTTTATGTTATCAAAAAATAATATAAATTATATATTTATATGTGATATAAAAATTTTCTTGACAAACAATCACATCTATCAAACTACGCAATTCGTATTTCTTGTTATTTTCTTAATCCAAGGTTACAGAAAAAATGGTGCAGAGTAAGTAACAAAATCATATCATGTCAAAAGTTGGCTTTCACAACTTATAAGTGAATCATTAAAGATCATTGTATTTAAATTTTTTAAAAAAAGCTTAGTGTGCGAGCATATTGACATATTTATTTACTATTTCAAAAACATGACTTATGGTGGTTATTTAATTTATCATTATAAAATTTTGTATTTTCTTAATAGTTTTGAAAGGTGGATAGCACTAAGTAGAGTTGTATTAAATGAATAACTGAGCTTTTATGAAATTAAAGTAAATAAAACTTTACAAAACTTAACATTTTAATAAAGGTTGAGACCTCTTATCTCAACAAAAAAAAAGGTTGAGACCTCTTAAAAATAGTTTTGAAGCAGTGCAAGGATAATGGTAATTAATATATTTATAAAATCCCACAATCCATTGTTTTGGGCTTTGGCCCCCTTTCTTACCCAAAAAAAAATCTCATAACTTATTGTCCTTAATCATCGCCAATGACATTGCTACATGTAGTTGCTTCATTAATATTAATCAAATCATCAATATCAAGTCTACCACAATTTAGATTCAAGGGTGATCCATTTGGCTTCAAATCTAGGAATGTCCTTCCTTAAGAATTTGAATTTTGATATAAGTTGTTGAGCATTGATTACTTGTTGAGTTGACAAGAAGGCAATAATTTTATCACAGTTATATTCTTCCAAGTATAGTTTCTAGCATCTAGTTTTTTAAATATTGGAACAAACTTTTACAAATAGTCTTTGCTATCGTGTTCTCCTTATGCTCGAGTTTCCTGTTTCAATGTTTGTTTTCTTTCCAAATTATCCAATCTTATATGAGAAGGGAAAAGAAACTGTTAAACTTAAATTGCTTTACTCATTTCATCCAGACATTTTTAACTTCATTATAATCACGCAAGATATGTATTAAGGAGAGTTACAATCAAGAAAACAAGTGCACTGGTAAGGATTTCTCCCATCAATGTTATTGAATTTAGTTTGCAGTCAATCCCAAGCAAGTTTTTAGAGAAAGGATTTTATTTTCTCATAAATAGGCCATTTCCAAATCCTAACCTAAATATATATATATATATATATATCAAAGCTTTATAATTGAATTTGATGGAGAAGTTGTTGTTAGTGAAAGGTCTCCAATAAAGAGCATCTCCATCTCTATGTGTATTAGGTAGCTGCACAAGTGATATAAGATTGATCACGTCTAATTAAAGGTAGCTACTATATTGATCAATGTTCTATCTTCCTAAGTGTGCAAAAATCTAATACTCTTATATGGAGAATAGATTCAACATAAGAATGTGCTTATTTAATAAGAGAATTAAAGAGAGGAGACAGTTTGTTATATCAAAAGAAAATTTGATCACCTTCACCAACTCTCTGTCTGACATGAGTCATAAATTTATCCCAAATTTGACAAATATCATTTCAAGTGTAGGATGAACTTGACTCATTGTCTTTAAAATGCTTCACAAAAATATGTTTCTTGTCTTTAAATATAAGCAAATTTCAACAAAATCATATAATTTTAAAAAGTTGGTTAATATAATTATGTATATAAGTGAATAGAGTCCAAAAACATACCTCCATTGATGACTAACTTCTATTCAACCACATGCGGGAACTGGGTTACAGTTGCAAACCTTGGATGAGTTACACAGTAAATACAATATTTTCCATGAGAGAAGAAAATTATAAGAGAGCCTTTTCAAAGAACGCCCATTTTTCTTTTCCGAGTATCCAACACGTATAGCACGTTAATTTTAGTTGGCATTTACAAAAAATGCTCCATCCTAATATCATGTAACCACCCCGCGCATAATTATTTAACAAAATAAATAATTAAATCAATCCTATATTAATTATCTTCTCATTTTATAGTCAAATTTATCAAGGGAGGACATATTCCAACAATGTCTAAAATTAAAAATTTTGAATTGAAATGTTTATGTTATTCCATCAAAAAATGTTCTTGTTAGTGACCCTTAATTTTTTTTCTAATTTAAAAATATCACTCCTTTGATTCTATTTATAGGTTAAAGAAAAAAGATTAATTTTAATTTTATTTATAATACACTTTACTGTTTTCTATGTTCCTTTTTACCTTTATGCCCTTACTAGAAAATTATTAAAAAATAATTCTTTTCATTCTTATTAGGGATAAAGGTGAAAAGTTAATAAATTTTAAAATAATTTAATAAATTTTAAATTTTTTCTTAATTCTAATGAAATATATTGGAAGTCACTTATAAGTAAAACTAAATGAAGTATCATCTAATGAAATGTAATTTAAAAAATGTTATAAATATTTTTTAAAAGTTATTTTATTTATAAAAAACAAGCAACCATGTAAAAGTTTTGAATATTAGATAGAAATTGATTTGGTGGTGTGATATGAGAAGGAGTAACCAAAGACTTTTATGATTCCCCCTAATAGGGGTTTATTTTCTCTGGCTTTTGTAATAATGTGAGTTCTTTCTCACATACTGCAATACTTCTCATTAAAAAATAGTAAATGTGTTCATTTATTTTTTTCAATAAATAGTCATGACTAAATTAATATATTTTTAGAAAAGTTTGTTACAAGATATTTTAAATTTTATATGTTAAATACATATATTAGAAAAAAAATTAAAAATCATAAGTTCTATAACTTGATATATAAATTCAAACAAATTAGTATTATTTATTTATATATTAACAGAATAAATTTAAAAATAAATAATATTGAGTTACAAGGAAAAAAGGCAGACCTCTCTTGAGTTACCTTAACATTAAGTGATAAGAACCTCTGCCACATATGTTAATGTGATTTGGTAAAAAGAATTTTACACTATATTTATTAGAATTTTTGAAGAAAAAATTCCAGCCCCCAAGCTATGGTAACTATAATTTCTGCAATTCATTGTCCACAAAAGAGCTCACTTTTTTTTTTATGAGTTCGAAACGTTAGAATAAAAATTAGAGGTAAGATTAATTGTTTTCAATTTAAAAAACGGCGACTGAAGTGCCCTTGGATTGAGATCTACCATGTGTGAAAATACTGTTCCTGAGACATGGAAACAATATATATATATATATATATATGTATGTATATATATGTAAGTATGTTTATGTATATATTTTTAGAGGCATACATCTCCGGGAATTTAATCATTGTAATATATCCAAGGTTTGCTATTGTTTTTTTTTATAATAATGAAAATGAAAAAATAACAGATAAATCATTTTAAAATAAAAAGATAACAATTTGGTCATACGAAATATTTTAATCACAGTAAGGTTTCAAGAAGCTAGGTTAAATTTCTGTGTAAAATTATTTTAGTACCATTTGCAATTTAAAAAATTGTTATTTTCTAAATTTTTTTAGCTATTGATAGCATTAACTTGTGAATATTTATACAAAGCTTGAAAATCATATAAAATTAGTTAGACTTTATTGACAGAAAGTTATAATTTTTTAAATCATTTTAATTATTGATGCAACTAAATTTATAAATACTATTACCAAATTTGTAAATAATATAAAATTAGTTAGATTTTGCTGATTAAAAAAATTGTTCATAAAAAGTTATGATTTCATAAATCATTTTAGTCATTGATGGAATTAAATTTATAAATACTTGTACCAAACTTGTAAATTATATAAAATTAATTGTAGAGAATTATTAAATTAATTTCACGTAAAAATTTAATCTTAAAAAAGTCTCTTATGAACTCACTGTAACTATCACATCTTATGACATTAAATTATTATTTTTTTATTTTAGAAAAATTTATCAATCATTCTTCTAATAAAATTTGCTTTAAATTTTATCTAATATATATATATATATATATATTTGTAAACCTAAGGAGCTTGGGTAAGCCTCACCAACAATAGAGGTATCTTCGAGATATTGAGAGCAAGGTATGCACTTCTCCTAATTGCATTGCATGGCATGGCAAATGGCTTCTCTTGATTACAACAGAGAAAATTTCAAACTGTAATATTAAATGGAGAAGATTGAGACATAATTTTTTATTTAAATATTAACAAAAATTAATTGAAAATATAAAAAATTAATTTATAATTGTCGTGAAAAATTAAAATATATATAGTGATAAGAAATTCATCTGCATTGCAGGAAGAGATGATAAGGTTGATAGATCCGATGTTCGATGTGATTAAAAAGCCCCGTGGGAATGGACCGTTAGCAATTTTCCCCAATACTAACGTCACACTGTAACATCTTAACAATTTATTCAATGAATTTGGCCCCAACACGTTTATTCCATTCTTGTTTCAAAACTTATAGTCCTTTTTTTTAAATTTAATTTTAATTCGTATTGATAATCTTTTGGAATACTTTCACCGAACTAAAATTTTAATTTACTTGTAAATTAAGGTTGATCTAATTGATAATTATTTTATTTATAATTTATAAAATTGTATATTTAAATTTCATTGTCAATGTAAAAATCTTATAGGTAGAAGATCTGTAAATATTGTTATAAATGATGTATCCTAATTTGGTAAACTCTGGAGCCCAATTCATTTAAACTTTTTTCACAAAAAAAATTAATTAAATATTTGATCTTAGTAAATAATGTATATTAAAATTTTATTTAAAATATTTTTTTTGG